AACTAATCTATGAGAGTTTTACATATTATTACATAATATGACATTAAATACTTAATACATAATGAAAATACGTAATTATTAACATATTTTTTCATATAAAATACATAACACCGATTAATAAGTTACATAACTAAATATTTTAATATCATAAGTTAGTATGTTTAAAGATAATCGCATTTTTAAATATTTTTTCATGAAATTGATAGTTCTACATAAGAACGTTGAAAAAACAAATGGACACAATGTCATTTCGAAATGATTGAGTATGGGAGAGCCATGAGACCGGAGTGATACCACGACCGAGCAGAAAACCGACGTGAAACAAAGCTTGTGTTGTGTTTTGTCGTGTGCCGGAGACCTAATTACCTGCCCCCCGATTCCCCTATCTCCCCAATCCCTGATTTCCCGATCTCATCAATCCCTGATACCCCAACAATCCTCAAATTCCTAATTCACAAAAGGCCGGTAACGCACTTGTATCGTCTTTGGTGTTCCAGGTGTCCATAGGCGACGCCGATTGCTCACCGACGGATCACCTGATATGATGCGTCTACTCATATACCAGCTTACCCCATAAAACAATTGAAGCACCAAAATATCAGTGGGTTATTTATGTATGTGCGTGTGTAACGGGTTACCACGTTACACGACATAAGAAAATGACAGATGTCCTTAGTGTCAATGTGTTTCTTCTACATATAAATCTTTTTTTTATGGCAAAAGCTGGTTAACGAGCAGACGGATACCTGATGGTAAGCAATCGCCGTCACCTATGGACACCTGGAACACAGGAGGCGTTACTAGTGCGTTACCGGCCTTTTGGGAATTGGGAATTTGAGGATTGTGGAGGATTCGGGGATTGAGGAGACTGGGGGATAATTGGGCCTGGTAACCTCCCTCAAACGACGAAACACAACGCAAGCGATCTTTCACGTCGGTTTTCTGCTCGGCCGTGGTATCACTCCGGTCGAGCCGGCCTATTCGTGCCGAAGCATGGCTCTCCCACAATTAAAACTTACTATCTATAGTAGCCAGGTGCCACAGTTGTTTCCAGAGACTGTGTCCGCCTTTCTTTCAACGTCTTTGGTCTCACACACCTATGTTGTGTTAAAGTTTGGCTTTGGTATAAAATTTTCTATGACGCAGAGCTGTATTATCGCTAAATTAGACTAGGCAAGTGCCTAGAACGCCTGGATGCAGAGACGCAAAACCCTAGTACCCATAAAGTGACAGCAACGCTAAATAAAATTAGGAGCGCCTATGAGAAGGGCCGTCTTAAACTCAGAGCCACACAACAATTCGGGCCATTTTGAAATGGCTTTTTTAACGTTGCTCCACACTAGGATTTTCACCTGTATCGTGGGTGCGTTTACAAACATACAAGTTCACATACACAATGACACCCAGACCCGGAACAACAATCTGTGGATCACACAAAGATTTGTTGCGGGAATCTAACTTGGTACAACCGGCTGCCGCATAACTTGTAGCTATGTGACTATCGTAGAAATTGTCGGTCCTTCGTGGCTATGACGATGAGAAGCCTGGGCACGGGCTTCAAATGCCTTCATATTAAAGACGGTACTGTCTATGAGGTGCTTAGGGCGCCCTCTAGTATTAATACAGCTCTGCCATGAAGTCATTTCGAGGTTTATACATGAACAAATGTTTTTGATGTTCTATCTTTATAGATACCAAATAAAAAAGATTCTTGCGCGCTTGACCTGCTGTATATACCCATTATAATCAATCCAAGATAGTTAAATATCACTTCCCAAGTCTTTTTTAGAATTTAAGGCCAAAATCAGTCATTCCATAAATACCTAGTATAAATACATAGACAATATATATAATTACTAGCTACTTCCGCGCGGTTTCACACGCTCTGCTCAGCTCCTATTGGTCGTAGCGTGATGTTTTATAGCCTATAGTCATCCTCGATAAATGCGCTATCCAACACAAAAAGAATTATTCAAATCAGACTTGTAGTTACGGAGATTAGCGCGTTCAAACAAACAAACAAAAAAACAAACTCTTCCGCTTTATATAATAGTATAAGAGTATAAGATATAGATCTACCTACACATTTTATATAGTTTACATACATTTCACATCAATTTTGGCCTAATCAAAAGTGTTATATTAGAATTACAATAAAAAATAAATAGATCACGATAATAGGCGTGTCGACAGGGTAAAAAAATCAAAAAAGTAGTCCGTCATTAAGATCGCACGAAAATATCAGACACGTATTTTTTGTTTTATCAAATTAACAGAAGAATACGTAGTTATTCCGCATTAAAGTTAGGGAGTTCTCCGTAAGTGTGACGTCAACACCCCCCGTGTTGACGTCACACTTACGGAGAAATCGTACCTAATTGTGACGTCACGCGTCATTTTAACTCAAAATATCTACATGTTTTTTAGGATACGAGAAAAAAGAAAAAATACGTATCGAAGATTTTTAAAATATCTAAAAGACGGACAAAAAATTAAAAAATAGTCGCCATGCCTATTATCATAGATTAGTAGGGTTGCAAGATGAAAAAAATAATTTAACCTACATAGATTAAAAATATGAATTGTGCTTATAATGCTCAAATTCCTAATATCCAAAAGGCCGGTAACGCACTTGTAACGCCTCTGGTGTTGCGGTTGTCTATGGGCGACGCCGATTGCTTACCATCAGGTGATCCGTCTGCTCGTTTACCCGGCGGCGTATTCCATACAAAAAAACATTGCATTGCAAGGACGAGGCAATCGGGAGTGTCAGACTCTTACTGAGTAAAAACTATCTTAGACCCTACCCTCAGGCCTTGACAATTGGCTAGCTTCCTAAGCTTAAAATAAATTATTTCAACTTTTCAATGCAATAAATAATTAAAAAATAATCATACTCACATCCATTGATTTGACAATTTACCTACTTTTAGATTTTTCTTGCTAAAATTAAGGAAATAAACGTATGCTGTTTGACGCAGAAATATGATGACGTCATAAGCTGCGATCCAATACAAAATTCACAGAAAAGTATCGTTTTGACATTTCAATAAAAGTATTGAATTTGACTAACTGTCAACTACCGCATTATGGCATTTAAACGCTAATTGAACGAGTGAATAAAAAACATACATGTGTTGAGAATCGGCCAGATACTTCATAGATAATAAAGGAAAATTTGAAATAGTACACCATATTAAATCATAAAGAAATTAATCCAATTTTAGAGCATTATTCTCCCAGAAATCTGGATCGCCGGTCAGCAAACGCATGCGTAGATCGAGAGTCCTATAAAACGTTACAATATGATAACAAACTAAATTGCTAACAAATTAATGTCACAGAAAAACCGTCACAGATAACATATTACCTTTTATTTACGAAAGGAATTGTTTGATTGGCATATCGACACCAAAACCGGTTCGACAGTATAACAATAGGGTAGTTTCCTAAATTTTATTTTAATGTCCGTCTGATACATTAATTTAAAACTTTAGACACCTATTTTTTATTATCTCACAAAATCAAATACTTTCGACAATATATTAATTTGAAATATCGTGTGACGTCACAGCGTGCCACATTTTGTAGCACGTTATGACGTAACAACCTTCCTCTCCTAAACTTAGCGCCATTTTATCTAAGTATTGCAAATTAATACGAGAAGATAAAAAAATACGTGTCTAATATTTTTTCATTATCTAACTGACGGACTAATTAGATTTAATATTTTGATACCCTGGAAACTACCCAATTACAGAGAACACAACAAATCTCAATGAAATACTGAGATTTTTTACACAATCTAAATACAAAAACAAAACACAATTTGTCACTAAAAAGAAGCTTGACAAAACAAAAAAAAAATAATTAAAAAACAAAAATGATAGAAGTATACTTTATCACTATATTAAAATAATAAAAAAGCTTCAATTCTTTACCTATTTAGATTCCATTTATAAAATCTACCAATTTTACTATACGGTATCCGACTGGATAGTACAAGACCATCCGATATCAGGCCGGATAATAAAAAAGGGCCGGATACCGAATAGTAACCGAATATTTGGTGCATCTCTAATTTAGTATGTCTCACGATAGTTAATATAAAAACTACTTTTTTTTTCAGCGTTTTTCGGGAAAGTTCCTTTTGCACTCTGTACATTAAATACCTACTTATATTTATCTATATTAAAAGTCTAATAATTTTACTACTTACACATTCTACAATTACAATTTATTCATTAGTGTCTTTTAAAATATTAACTAATTTGAGATTTAAATCAAGTACTTAAAAATATTTAACAGAATAAAAAAAATATCATAAAATAACTTAGCTATAAACAAATATTTGTTATGGAAAATCCTGTCTGATTGACTAATTAAAAAAGATTAATTTTTAAATTATAACTAAAGAAGATAAGTATTATCAACTATTAATAAAATAAATTAGGTAATTAGATCCATACATCCACCCCAAGCGGTCACCGGTGACCGCTCTACACAAACTACATTATAGACCTTATTTCCAATGTTTAGAGACTACTTTTGTATGAACAAATTTAGGGAATGCTTATGATACTTTTTTAAAAGAGTAACGAATGGAGTTTCTTGCTCGTTCTTCTCCATTCGAATCTACGTTTTGGAATAAGCACCTAGCTTCACCTAATTTCACTGACGGACTGACTGACAGACTATTATTTATTTTGTATTTGTTGAGTTTCAAAAGTACCAAACTATGGTTCAATTGAAATAAATGCTTTGACTTTGACTTTGATGATTTTCAACGGGTTAAATAATTATACACGTGTCGTCCCCAAGTAAAATGGTTCTGTCTCGGTAATACAATCGATTAACAAAGAAATAAAATGTTTAAAACGAAAAGACGTGGCTCCGGTAACCTCACTCACATGACGAAACACAACGCAAGCGTTGTTTCACGTCGGTTTTCTGATCGGCCGTGGTATCACTCCGGTCGAGCCGGCCTATCCGTGCCGAAGCATGGCTCTCCCACACTTATCATTCGTATAATTCATTTAATTCATATCTCACTAAAATATACTCAATTATAATAAATATAATAGTTTCAAAACTTATACACCACCTTTAACAATGAATCAGACAGAATTTTACCAAAAAAAGAAACAAACAAAAACATATTATAACTTCGAATTGATTTTATTATCTTTTAAAAACTTAATAACATGAGGAGCCACTCTTTCAGGGTGAGTAAAATGGACATCGTGGCTCCCTTCGACATCGACGCGATTGAAATTATTTAATTTTGACAATCTATCTATTAGCTCCATGGCGCGCTCCCGCCATATTGGATTCTTTGGCGCGCTTTTCATGCCATCGCTAGCGACCACAAACAACGATGGCGGTATAGTTTTAAATAATTCGAAATAGTAATCGTTCCCGTAATTTTGGGGCGCGAGGTTTTTTAGACGATTGTCCCATGATAAGTACCTGAAATTTGAGGATAGATTTTTTGAAAAAATACCCGATAATAGCGTAGTATACTAATTTTTATTTCAATGTCCGTCAGGTAGATTAATTTAAAATATTAGACATGTATTTTTTCTTTTCTCACAAAATTAAATACTTTATATATAATACGACGATATATTAATTTGAAATATCGTGTGACGTAACGATTTACTACATTTTATAAGGTTTTTTTTATTTTTTTAAGGGGGGCAATTCATCGAATGACTGCTCCCGCCCGGGTGAGGCGGGAGGGAGTGTCAGACTCTTACCGACTAAAAACCACCCCGTTCCTTCTCCTGCACGTCGAGCCGGAGCCCCGGTTACCCGTTAGGTTCTCCGCGACACATTTTATATGGTAGCGCGATGTCACGACCTCCCACTCCTAAACTTAACTCCGTTTTATCTAAGTATTGGTCACTTATACAACAAAATAAAAAAATACGTGTCTAATATTTTTTCATTATCTAACTGACGGAGTAATAAGATTTTTAATTTTGACACCCTATTGTATTTTACGTTATATTAAACGAGATCGTTAGTCTATTTATTTAAATGTTAAATCTAGTGTAGTTATAATTCCTTTACTATAAACGTATTCAAAAAAGTCTGTAGTAAAAAAAAAACAAAAACAAACTAGAAAAAAAAAACAAATAAAACAATAGGTAATGAAAGAAAAAGGGCAAATTAATTGAAAACTTCTAAACTATGGACCTCCCTTTCTGACAACGTACATGAGAAAGGGACAAAGCAATAACATTATCTATTCAACATTAATACTGAGTCTAATTTATCAGAGGCCATAGTACGAGTTTCATTTACGTATAAAATATTCGAAACGAATACGCGTTCTGCGCTCTGATTGGCCGGCGCCAATGAAGCAACCAATCAAAGCGCCGAACGCGTACTCGTTACTATAACTTTATACGTAGAACAAACTCGTACTAAGGCCCCTGAACATAAGTTTTGCCATCTTACATACATTATAAGAAAAAGAGAATCATGACATTTAAAGCCTAATTGTAAATAGCACAGTAAAATGAACTCTAATCCAATACCATAAAGATTGAAATCAATTTCATTCATATCTACATTTTGATAGCAAAGAATCAAATTTAATAGGATAGTTTCCTAATTTTTATTTGAACGTCCGTCTGGTACATTAATTTAAAACATTAGACACGTATTTTTTCTTTTCTCACAAAATTAAATACTATCGACGATATATTGATTTGAAATATCGTGTGACGTCACAGCGTGCCACATTTTGTAGCACGTTATGACGTAACGACCTCCCACTCCTAAACTTAGCGCCATTTTATCTAAGTATTGCAACTTAACTCGTCGAGTACCAGTTTTGTAGACACAATTATAGAACAATAGGTTGCGGTCACCGGTGACCGCTTGATATTTGACAGTTTAATACGAGAAAATAAAAAAATACGTGTCTAATACTTTTTCATTATCTAACTGACGGACTAATTAGATTTTTAATTTTGATACCCTGGAAACTACTCAATTTTCATATTCTTTAGACTAGCAAAGAAAAATAATCTCTAAAAACACAATAATAAAACACAATATCAACTGACCCAACAGCATCATGGTTAGCAATGTAAGTTACTCTACTTCGTACAGCCTTAAGATTCAATTTAGACGATTTTGAATACAGCAAAGCAAATTAAACTCTACATTCTATAGCAATAAGACTTAAAATTCGATACCAACTAACAGCTAAGCAAGGCAAAATAAACTTTGAACAAACAACAACATAACATAACATCACGCCTTTTATCCCCAAAGGGGTAGGCAGAGGTGCACATTATGCCACTGTACAATGTAACACCCACTTTTCAATATTTATGTTATGAGTCCCATGTAATAGGGGGTGAGCCTATTCCTATATACCGGGCACAATTTCTGACTCCGTGCTACCACTGAGATTTAAGAAACCCAGTAATACTTTGCCCAACCCGGGTATCGAACCCGAGACCCCTTGCCCGTAAGCCGCACTCGGCCTACTAGGCAATCTTAGACACACAACAATAAAACACAATATCGACTTGGCCTCGTGTTGGCACGGGGTCTGGGGTACGATTCCCGGGGTGGGATAAATTTTTACTGGAATTTTTTAAATTATTAGTAGCATGGAGTCTGGAACTGTGCCCGGCATACGGCAATAGGCTCGCCCCCTATTACATGGGACTCATAACATAAATAGTGAAAAGTGGGTGTTACATTGTACAGTGGCATAATGTACACCTTTGCCTACCCCTTCGGAGATAAAAGGCGTGATGTTATGATAATGTTATGTTCGACTTACCCAACAGGATCATGTTCCCGCATATGTTTAATGATTTGACTGAGGTCCAACGCTGGCGTCCCGTCCGGGCAGGTCGTTGACTTCGGTACATCGCGCGATACTCTTAGACGTTCTGGATTATCACCGTTCAGGGTGCCTAGTTCACTGGAATTAAATAGCAATATTTTTTTAATTATATGGGATTTTTTTATGGGGAAAAAGCCCATAATGCCTACTGCTGAGCAAAGCCTCTTCTCACACGGAGAAGGTTTGAGCATTAATCACTACGCTTGCTCAATGCGGGTTGGCGATTACAAACTTATAATTAGAAATTATAAGCTTAGGTTTCTTCACAATGTTTTCCTTTACCGTTTGTCAGTGGTGTCTAGATAATCTTAGAAAGTACATATAACTCGGAAAAAGTCACATTGGTACTTGCCGTTGGTAGGTTTCGAGCCCACACACTCATGCATGAAAAGCGGGCATCTTAAACCTCCGGGCCACCACGACACGACAAACGCATCCTGCATCCACGATACAGGACAAACTAGTGTTGGGAAACGCTTTTTTTTTAAGGGGGAAAAGTCATCGAATGGCTGCTCCCGCCTGGGTGAGGCCGGAGGGAGTGTTATACTCTTACTGACTAAAAACCACCCCGTTCCTTCTCCTGCACTTCGAGCCGGAGCCTCGGTTACCCGTTAGGTTCTCCGCGACTTTATTATATGGGATAGGCAATAAATAAAATCACATAAACCTGTTTTTACTTAACGCATGCCGAAAAACTCTGTAATTGGGTACTTTCCTTAATCAAAAATAAATTATTTCGACTGTTGAATGCAATAAAATATTAATAAATAATCAAATTTTTTAAGTGTGGGAGAGCCATGCTTCGGCACGAATGAGCCGGCTCGACCGGAGTGATACCACGGCCGAGCAGAAAACCGACGTGAAGCAACGCTTGCGTTGAGTTTCGTCGTATGATTGAGGTTACTGGAGGTCCAATTAGCAATTACCCCCCTCCCTAGTCTCCCGAATCCCCGAATCCTCCACAATCCTCAAATTCCCAAAACACCGGTAACGCACTTATAACGCCTTGGTGTTTTGGGTGTCCACGGGTGACGCCGATTGCTTACCATCAGGTGATCCGTCAGCTCGTTTACCGACTTATGCTACGTATAAAAAAAATGATACTTTCATTAATTGATTTTATGACCAACTTAATTTTAGTATATTTCCAGCATTTATTCAAGAAATAAGTACGCTGTTTGACGCCAAAAAAACGTGACGTCACAATACACAGTCTCGTACAAAATTCATAGAAAACTGTCATTTTTGACAGTTCGAAAAAAGTATTGAATTTGAGTAGTTGGCAAGTACGCAATTGGCTTAAGGATTCTATTCCTTGTTATTATAAGTTGAGTTTTCTGAGTTACAATAAATAAATACTGTTGGTGCGTTGGCTGGGCAACCGGCTGCCGCACACGCAACGTGTCGCGGGTTCGATTCCCGCACGGAACAACTCTTTGTGTGATCCACAGATTATTGTTCCGAGTCTGTGTGTCATGAGTATGTGAACTTGTATGTTTGTACGTCCCCACATCACGACACAGGGGAAAATACTAGTGTGGGGTAACGATTTAAAAAAAATCTTTTAATATTTAAAGCATAGCTAGCGACCGATTTTAAAACAAAATACTCACCCGGAAAACCGAAGCTTGTACTGCCTCATATACTGCTCAACCAGCTGCGAAGTAGTCAATGGAGGACCAGGGTTCCTCATCTTCTGTACCGCTGATCCATCATCAGAATCCGACTCGAACTCCAACATTGGAGATGGGCTTTCAGATCTCCCTTCAAGTGGATTCCGTGCATCATTTGAGGAGCTGGCTACATCTTGGAAACGAGCCTGTTCTTGTCTTCGTCTTATCATTTCTCCTGAATGCCATTCTTCGAGTTGGTGCCAACTCCTGGTGGAATGAGAAGTAATATTATTTAGGTATTACTTATGATAAACGACAGAAAAGCAATTTCAAATCAAAGAAACAGAAAAAAAGAGAAAAAGAAGAGAGAGAGATAGGAAAGAAAGAGAGAGAGAGAGAGAAAGGCGGGTGTTAAATCTATCTATATACAGGGTTACAAGTGAAACAAGTGAATTTATTTCTGCAAATAGGCTACAAGGCAGCACTTTTACACGTCAATTCTATCAAACGAACGATGAGGTCGAAATTTCCTAACTGACTACTCTGAGAAGAAATGCTGAAACAAACTCAGAGGTTACAGGTTGACTCGACCTGAATCCTTTAATAGATGGACTACCGCCTCTGTTGGTATAGTCACTAATCTTCTAGACAAAACAGCAAAAAGCAGAACAAAATTAAGACAATTACTTTCTTTTTCTACTTTTTACCGAAAGTTACGAACGGGAACGGGAATAAAACGGTATTGTGCGTACGAAGACGCGGGCAGAGGGTTAGTATTACATAATTTTCCCATACCGAGGCCTTAGTACGAGTCTCATTTACGTTTAAAGTATTCGAAACGAGTAAGCGTTCTGCGCTCTGATTGGTTGGGTCATTGGCGCCGGCCAATCAGAGCACAGAATGCGTCGACCACAGATAATGTCGTCAAATAAAAACAAACAAAACACTTCAACTAGGTGCTAATGAAAACTAGGCCTTAACATGTAACAAATAAGAACTTTAACTTACCGATCGTCGATTTCATGAAAATTCCTTTGGAGCAGGAATGCACATTGCGGGTCGTTCAGATCTCGGAGCCGCTTCAGCGCTTCAGTGGCTGTGTTCCTTGTGTATAGCTGAAATTAATATATAAAGTGCAATTAAGTTGAAAGGAATTCTTCTTCTTCTTGGCCTAGGCCTTGGGCTCGCTGGTATTGCAGCGGTAAGTCCTCTTTTTGAGGAGTGGCTTGAGAGACGCTACTGCGTCCTGACGCAGACGCTTACCGGACACGGGGGTTTCGATAGAGTCCTGTTTCGGATTAGGCGGGAGGAAACGTCCGGGTGTCGGCACTGCGAGGACCGCCCGGAGGACATGGTGAAGCAAACGGTGGCGGTGTGTCTAGCGTAGGTTGAGCACCACCGTATTCTCAGGGATGTAGTCGGAGACAGGACCTCCCGCGTTCGGCTCTGGTTCAGGCCATGGTGCGGAGCGAAGGGGCCCAGTAGGGCTAATGCCTGATACGGAGCCGCAAAAGGCCTAACGGGTTGTCAGGGCTCCAACTCGAATAGTAGAAGTAGGAACAGGGTGGTTTTTAGTCAGTAAGACTCACACTCTCTTGCCTAACCCAAGGCGGGAGGAGTCATTCAAATATTTCTCCCCTCAAAGAAAGCCCCCCAATCACCTGCATACAGCGACTTTGTTTATGGGATTTTTTTTAAGGGGGAAAATCATCGCATGACTGCTCCCGCCTGGGTGAGGCGGGAGGGAGTGTCAGACTCTTACTGACTAAAAACCACCCCGTTCCTTCTCCTGCACGTCGAGCCGGAGCCCCGGTTACCCGTTAGGTTCTCCGCGACTTGTTTATGGGATCACCTGATGGGAAGCAATCGGCGTCGCCCATGGACACCTGGAACACCAGGGGCGTTACAAGTGCGTTACCGGCTTTTGGGGATTAGGAATTTGATGATTGTTGGGCAATCGGGAGTTGGGGAATTTGAGGATGGATCTTCGGTACCTCACTCACACGACGAAATAAAGCGCAAGCGTTGTTTCACGTCAGTTTTCTGCTCAACTAAAGTATCCACTCCTGTCAAGTTGGCCCATTCGTGCCGAAGCATGGCTCTCTCACGCCTTAAGTACTAAAAGATTGTATTGGAAAATTTTATTATTTATATATGCTTTATTGTACCTACACAAGTGTGGGACTGAGAAAGCCATGCTTCGGCACGAATGGGCCGGCTCGACCGGAGTGATACCACGTCGTGTGAGTGAGGTTACCGGAGGCCCAATTACCCTAGTCCCTAGTCCCCGTCTCCCGAATCCCCAATCCTCCACAATCCTCAAATTCCCAATTTCCAAAAGGCCGGTAACGCACTTGTAACGCCTTGGTGTTTCGGGTGTCCATGGGCGGCGCCGATTGCTTACCATCAGGTGATGCATCTGCTCGTTTACCGGCTTATGCTATAAAAAAATTGTAACCACACATTTAAGTAGCTTAAAAACAAACAATTCAAGTAAATATGCGTCTTATCACACAATGGTGATTTTTTCCAGACAACCTTTGGATGGAAATATTTATAAGAAACCAGATTTTTTTTAAGGGGGAAAATCATCGAATGACTGCTCCCGCCTGAGTGAGGCGGGAGGGAGTGTCAGACTCTTACTGACTAAAAACCACCCCGTTCCTTCTCCTGCACGTCGAGCCGGAGCCCCGGTTGCCCGTTCCCGTTAGGTTCTCCGCGAATCAGAATGCCAAAATGAATAGAGCGCGCGTAAGCCCGCTAAGCCGTAACCCGTAAGCGTGAGCGTTTTTATGGTTCTGTCTGTTATTTATTGGTGTTTTTGTTTCGTTTATATGTTTGTTAGGTTCATGTAAGCATACACTATTGTGGGTTTGAATATGTCCCTCGTTTAACCTAACATCTAATATATAAGATTCTCGTGTCACGGTTTTCGTTGCCATACTCCTCCGAAACTGCTTGACCGATTTTGATGAAATTTTCTGTGCTTATCCGGTATCTATGAGAATCGGCCAACATCTATTTTTCATCCCCCTAAATGTTAGGGGCAGTCCACGCCTAAATTTTTTTTATTTTTTAGACAACATTTTTAATTTCTATTTTTTTATGATACAACATACAAAAATACATATAATCCTCAATTTTCACCCTTCTACGATCAACCCTTATTTTTTAATAGCCATTTTAGTAATTATTTATATGGCAAAACAACGTTTGCCGGGTCAGCTAGTACTGTATAAAATACAATAAACTATGTGTGTGAATGCGTGTGTGTATCTGTGTGTGTGTCTGTGTTTGCTTGTTTGTATGTGTTTTTTCATATTTCATACCGACCTTTGTCTCGAAATTCTCATGATGATAGTTATCGTAGTAAGTATCGTAGTATATCCTCTGGAACTCCGCTGGGTCCTCGATCTGCATCCTCATCAGCGTCGGCCCGGCGTCCAGGAGGATCATCTTTGTTATACGGTCCGGGTATATCGCGTTATAGAATAAACCTGCAAGAAAAACGACCTTACTAATACAGTGAAACTTGGTTTACTGGGACCTGGATAAGTGAGAAACCTCCATAACTGGAACTCATGCTGAGGTCCCAACACTTTGGCAATGAATTACCTCTGTTAGTGGGACGAGGTAAACCTCTATATCTGGGATTTGTTCTTTCGATTTATCATCATAGTTACCTCTATAACTGAGACAGCGAGTAAATTTTATATGCATAAACCTCTGTAACTGAGATAACATTGTTTGTTTACTCATTCTTATTCTACCCACAAATTCCACACGTAATACCAAGTCCACCTCTATTAATGAAACCCTCTGTAAATGAGACAGATATTTATTTATACCTGTATATCTGAGACACTGGGTAAGTAGAATACCTATATAAGTGAAACGACATTGCAGGTCCCTTGATGTCTCACTTAACCAGGTTTTACCAGGTAACGCCTCTGGTGTTTTGGGTGTCGATGGGCGACGCCGATTGCTTACCATCAGGTGATCCGACCGCCCGTTTACCGAGTCACAGCACATCACAAAAAAAAACTATCAAATTACCTTGTTCACATCCCATAGAATGTCCCATAAAGATGAACTTCTCCCATCCAAGGTGTGCGATGGCCAGCTCCATAGCGTACAGGAAGTGGAACCTCATTAGCTTCGGACCTGGTGGCATACCGAATATATTGAACTAGCTACTAGTGCGCGGTTTCACCCACTCTGCTCGTCTCCTATTGGTTGTACCGAGATGTTTTATAGCCTATAGCCTTCCTTGATAAATGGACTATCTAACACAAGAAGAATTATTCAATTCGAATCAGTGGTTTCGGAGATTAGCGCGTTCAAACAAACAAACAAAAAAACAAACTCTTCAGCTTTATAATATTATAGTATATACTAGCGACCCGCCCCGGCTTCACACGGGTGTAATATGCATGTATTATACATACAAACCTTCCTTAAGAATCACTCTATCTATTAAAAAAAACCGCATCAAAATCCGTTGCTTAGTTTTAAAGATCTAAGCATACATACGGACATACAGCGAAAGCGACTTTGTTTTATACTATGTATTGATAGTACATAGTATAGATAAAAAGTTGAGCTATAGCTCAAGAATGGCTGGACTGATTTTAATGATGTTTGTGTGAATCATCATCATCATCATGTGGTGGCCCGGAGATTTAAGACGCTTCTCATGCATGAGGGTGCGGGTTCGAAACCTACCAACATCAAGTACCAATGTGACTTTTTCCGAGTTATATGTACTTTCTAAGATTATTCAGACACCACTGACAAACGGTGAAGGAAAACATCGCGAGGAAACCTGGGCTTATAATTTCTAATTATAAGTTTGTAATCGCCAACTCGCAATGAGCAAGCGTAGTGATTAATGAAACCTTCTCCGTGTGTGAAGAGGCTTTGCTCAGCAGTGGGCATTTATAGGCTGTTGATGATGATGATAGTGTTTGGTGCATCGTGTGCCCAATTTAAATAGAAGGGGTCATCTGCAGACCTTCATGGCCTCTTAACACACTTCATCAACGTGTTATTGTTGGGTGTTTTTTTTTTTGTAAAATGATAAAATGTGGATAAAACTCCACAGGGTATGTAGGGTGTTAAGCGGGGTAGCTGATGACCCCTTCTGTCGACCACTTCAATTTGAAGTATGATGCACCAAACACTCTGTAAGGGCTGAAACACATAATCGCGTTGCGTCGCCGCAACGCTAATATCCACAGTTTGCGGTGCGGCGTTGCGGCGCAGCGCTCGTTCCAGCATAGCAGAATAATAACAAATAAGCAATAAGTTTTTCACGATGGTCCATGGCAGAGACACGTCTTTTTTTTTTAAGGGGGGAAAATCATCGAATGACTGCTCCCGCCTGGGTGAGGCGGGAGGGAGTGTCAGACTCTTACTGACTAAAAACCACCCCGTTCCTACTCCTGCACTTCGAGCCGGAGCCCCGGCAACCCGTTAAGTCTTCCGCGGCTCCGTATCGGCATCAGCCCTGTTAGGCCCCATCTGTGGTGGTCTGATGGCTCCTTGAGGCGCGCGCGGAACGCGACGCGCCGTACGCTCGGGCCTGGTTCTGGTCGGGCGGCGAGTCACCCGTGCTCGCCGTCCGCAGGCCCGTGCTTACGGTGGCCGGAGATCGTCTCGCGATCCCCGACGCCCGGAGTGTCTCTCGCGACGGCCGGGTCGTGAGGAGGTTCGTTCCCTCACGCGCTCCGCCTCCTCCTTAGCTAGCATGACTGCTTCGCAGAAGGAGGAGACGGCATCCCAGTCACGTCCGCAGGCCCAGAGACACGTCTATCCACAATAAAAAATCACGACGAACTGGTTACCCTACCGAACGACAATAAAACGCTCTTTTTCACGACGCCGCAACGCCGCCACGCACCGCACCGCAAACTGTTGATTTTAGCGTTGCGGCGACGCAATGCGGTTATGTGTTTCGGGCCTAAGTCTGTATTATGAGTCCCATTTAATACAGGAGAAATATTTAATTAACATAAATAACATAACATCACGACTTTTATCCCCGAAGGGGTAGGCAGAGGTGCACATCATGCCACTGTACAATGTAACACCCACTTTTCACTATTTATGTTATGAGTCCCATGTAATAGGGGGTGACGGTGAGCCTATTGCCATATACCGGGTACAATTCCAGGCTTCGTGCTACTACTAAGATTTTTTTTAAAACCCAGTAATACTTTGCCCGATCCGGGAATCGAACCCGAGACCCTTTGCACCCGAGACCAGTCGCACATGCGACCACGCGGCCAACGAGGCAGGCAAAATATTTAATTATTTAATGTATTATATTAAAAGACAAACACAGACACAAATATTCTAATGTACAACATGGAAATTGGAATTAAAAAACAATTGAAATAAGCAAAATAAATAAAGGACTCTAAATAGCTACAGTTAAGTTATAATTTCCTTTTCAGCGTTTCCAAGCTTTTTAAATGGCTTTTCAGTTCACACGTCCCGGTTGCCGGTTACCCGGAGGCACAGTGTAGTATTTATTAAAAAAAAAAAACTTTACCTAGCATTTTTTAAGAAATAAGTAACGCTGCGCTGTTTGACGCTAAAAAAACGTGACGTCACAATACACAATCTCGTACAAAATTCATAGAAAACTGTCGTTTTTGACAGTTCGAAAAAAGTATTGAATTTGACTAGTTGGCAAGTACGCAATTGAAATAAATGATTTTGACTATTGACTTTAATAAATTGTAGTATGTAATAAAATCGAATAAAAACTCGTTTTTGTCACATTCAAATCACGAACGAACGGCTCGGCATTGGAAAAATATCATGATTAGATGAAAAATAAAACAAATAATCATACGCTATTTTATTCTATTTTCTTGTCACGAGTCAGCTCGACTGAAATGATAGCACGACAGAAAACCGGCGTGAAACAATGCTTACGTTATGTGCAGTCGTGTAAGTAAAGTTTCCTAAGCCCCAAATTTCTAAAACTGAACCTTTAAGACTTTGACTGCCAATAAAAAAACTGTTGAAGGTAAATCCTCCGCTAACGCCGGTCACCGATGACCCCCATGGCGTTTAACGTGTTAAAGGGTCGACAACGCACTTATTCTAAATTCAAAATCTACATACAATCAATATACAAAAAGTGACAGATGCAAAAAAAAAACAAAAAAAATAAACCGCAAAAAAATCAATAAGCGTATCGAGAATACCGACCGACTCACCGGATCTTGGATTTTTGTTTTTATACGTCAACATACGATTTCTACAGAAGTCTACAAACGGCTCGCTCGGTTTAGGTGGTGTGTCGAAATACACCGCGTAACGGAGATGATCCGGGTCCTCCCTCTCTGAGGCGGCTGAAAAACGGCCCATTTTTAATCTGTTCTATAACATCTATCTATTAATTAATTTTAATTATATTATTTCGAGACGCTATGTATAATTATTTTAGTAAGGGTTCTACACTTGGGGGCAAATCAAAAACAAAAAAAAGCAAAGGTTTTTTTCATGTCTTGATTAAATTTTTCTGATACCTACAAGAGTATTTAATTAATTGGTAACGTGTGTCGTATAACAGCCAATTTAATTTCCTTCAAAATGAGATAATTTTGTTGCAGAAGGAATATTATTTTTTAAAGTTACAGAGGGTTCGATAAGATTAACAAAACGCTAGACGCTTTATTTCTTTGCTTTTAAGATATATTAGAAATAGTACCTAGATAGATAAATTTTTCTTAATATAATAATACTAGCAACCCGCCCCGGCTTCGCACGGGTGCAATATGCATGTATTATACATATAAACGTTCCTTAAGAATCACTCTATCTGTTAAAAGAAACCGCATCAAAATCTGTTGCGTAGGTATAAAGATCTAAGCATACATAGGGACAGACAGACGGCGAATAGCGACTTTGTTTTATACTATGTAATGATACGATGGATTTTCTAAGTAAACAATGATGGGAAAAGCTAAAGAATAAGCTAAGAATCGCCGTCCAAATCCTAGACTTCAGCCAGATGTAGCATCTCTTCAGATTTTCTAGAAAGGCGAATTAAGCGTCCACCGTAGATATGACCGCAATAATATCTCATGAATGAGTCCCGACCAAATGAGCATTTCTTGAATAGCTCACATAAATAAACAGTTAGTTATCACAAAAAATACCCAATACTTTTAACGGAGACCCATGCTAAGTGTGGGGGAGTCATGCTTTGGCACGAATGGGCCGGCTCGACCGGAGTACCACGGCCGAACAAAAAACCGACGTTAAGCAACGCTTGTGCTATGTTTCGTCGTGAGACTGAGGTTACCGGAGACCCAATTGGGCCCCCTCTCCTTCCCCAATCCTTGAACCCCCAACTATCCTCAAACTTCTAATCCGCAAAAACCTGGTAACGCACTTGTACGCCACTGGTGTTCCAGGCGTCGATGGGCGACGCCAATTGCTTATACCATCAGGTGATCCGTCAGCTCGTTTACCGGCTTTGGCATAAAAAAGATTCTTTTTAGAGATACCAAAAAACAACATACATTTTCGAAAAATTACGCTCAAAAAATCTTACCCTTCGGAAAGGCATCAGAGAGTCCGTTACCAGGCATATCCAGTGCCACGTAATAATACTGATCGGTCATCATGTTGATGAGGGGCGTGAAGATCGAGGAGCTGTCCTGTCTCCCGTGGACCAGGAACACTGGCTCTCCATCTGGATGCCCTCGGCTGATCACTGGAAGTTAAGGAAACTGTATTTAAGTGATGAAAGTACGTTATTTTATTCAATTATCAAATGACTTCTCCCGCAGGCGAGAGGAAGTGTCAGACTCTTACTGACTAAAAACCACCCCGTTCGTGCTCCTACTTCAAGCTGGAGCATCAGCAACCCTCCCAGTTGTCACACATCATCAGCAACTCGTGGCAGTCCAATAGACATGAAAAAATAGCTCATAGTCCACTAGAGTATGACCTATTTTTTCATGTGACATAGTCATGCTTCGGTACGAATGAGCTGATTCGACCGGAGTGTGTAATCATAATCATCATCAGCACATAAGTGGCCACTGCTGACTAAAGGTCTCTTCTCACACAGAGAAGGTTTGAGAATTAATCACCATAATTTTTTTTTTTTCGATTTTCTCAGGATATTTTCGGTCACCGTTTGTAAGTGGCGTCTAAATAATCTTAGAAAGTACATATAACTCGGGAAAAGTCACAGTGGTACTTGCCGTTGGTAGTTTCGACCACGCACCCTCAGGCGTGTGAAGCGGGCGTCTTAAACCTCCTGGGCACCAGCCTGCGTTATGGGACTGTGTAAACCGGCGTAAATCTACGAATGCTTCGTATTTCGCCATGTATGAGGTTCCGGAAGGCCCCACGACCCCAAACCCAGTACCGTCTTTCGTCATCCGTGGTGGTCTGATGGCTCTCGCGCGACGCGCCGTAGGATTTGTATAGACTCTACACGAGCAGAATTCTGGCTATTTCTTCGGACAGAAAATAAGCATTGCCATACAACGTGGCAATGCTGCCAGTCTTCTGGGAACGTTCCCCGGTGATAGTGATGCGGATGAATACTTTGACGCCTAAATTAAGGGTATAATTTCTGTTTTTTCTTTTATTTTACTTTCTTTTTATTCAATAGTTTAGTTGTAGAAAATTTTAAGTATGTAGTTATATTATATTTAATAATATATTTAATAATCTTATATCTTATCTTATACTGTCATATAAAACGGAAAAGTTTGTTTTTTTGTTTGTTTGTTTGTTTGAACGCGCTAATCTCCGTAACTACAATTCTGATTTGAATAATTATTTTTGTGTTGGATAGCGCATTTATCGAGGATGGCTATAGGCTATAAAACATCACGCTAAAGCCAATAGGAGCTGCAGAGTGTGTGAAACCGCGCGGAAATAGCTAGTTAAAAATATACTTTATTATCGTTCTTTAGCTTCCATCACATTCGTAAACACAGGTTAAAGGTGCCATACTTGGCCTTTTTCAGTATGTACATACATAAATATACTGTTAGTATTAACTCTTTGACACTATAGGAATGTTACATAGGTAATACCTATTCAATTAAGATAGCATAGTACATTTTTTTGCTTCAGAAAAACTTTATTTACAACCGACATAAACTGAATTAAAATAAATACTAACTATTACTGAGACACTAAAAGTAATGGAAAAAACTAAATAAAAGAAGACTAAAAATTACTATTTAGATAGAGCCTACTACATGTACCTACTTTATACTTTTTTTTTAAAGGGGGTAAATCATCCAATTCCTTCTCCCGCCCGGGTGAGGCGGAAGGGAGTGTCAGATTCTTACTGATTAAAAACTAAAAATTATAACTATTTATTTACTATATGTACCTACTTTATACTTTTTTTTGAGGAGGGGAAATCATCCAATGGCTTCTCCCGCCTTGGGTTAGGCGAGAGGGAATGTCAGACTCTTACTGACTAAAAACGATCCCGTTCCTACTGCTTCTGTTCGAGCTGGAACCCCAGCAACCCATTAGGCCTTCCGCGGCTCCATATCGGGCATCAGCCCTACTGGGCCTCATCGGTGGCGGGCTGATAGCTCTTTAAGGACCTACTTTATGCTTAAAATAGTATTTGGGTTCAGTCTGTTTGTTTCTTTGAAAAAAATGGTACACTACGATTTTTGTTTTTTTTTTCAAAAACATTGCCTCGCACTAAGATTGTCTCCTGTGTCATGAGTGCGTTAACAAACATACAAGTTCACATACACATTACACCCAGCCAGACCCGGAACAACAATCTGTGGATCACAAAAGGGGTTGTTCTGTGCAGGAATCAAACCCAGAACATGTTACATAGCAGCCATTTGCCCAGCTACCACACCAACCATGCAGTCTAACACATCCAATATTTGCAACACAAAAGGAGTTCAAATATGTTGTGAAAATTTGTTTTTATAATAACTATCGTGAGACATACTATCGCTGCTTAACCCGTTGAAATCCACCCCCTAAATTTGGTCATACAAAAGTAGTCTCTATACATACATTACAAAAAAGGTCTATAATGTAATGTAATATTAGTGGAAAGCGGTCATCGGTGACCGCTTGGGGATTTATGGGTTAAGACCCCTCTGTGGTTCAAAACTAGTAGAACTTTTCTCAGTATATTCACGTGAGTAACCCGCGATTTTATTTACACTGTCAAACACCAAGCGGTCACCGGTGACCGCAACCTATTGTTCTATAATTGTGTCTACAAAACCGGTACTCGACGAGTTAATTGTGAGAATTTGTTAAAATTATTTATATTTACTTTAAATATTCAATATTCAAATAAAATATTCTATTTACAATGAATAGGTAGATCAACTGTCATTGAAACATTGCAAAAATAAAACAAAAAAAGAACAACTACACAGAGTTCGGAGTATTGTTATATTTTTTGTGTGTAAATATTGTCTATTGTAATATTCTTATTTGCATCAACATCTTATAGAATAAAGATGATTTTTTTTGTCAACAATTAAGCTTTAAATTAGTTTTAAAACAATTGGTACTAGCGATAATATTTAGATTTTAATAATAACGCATGTAATAACACAAAAAAACACTAAATTATTGAGTTAAAACAATTTATAATATTATTGTGATGTGAATTAAATTGTGTGTTTGTAAAGACACTGTTTGCTCGTTTGCCTCCTATTCCATAAAAAAACCTGCTTGGTAGGAGAAAAATGTGTCTAATAAATAATGTATAAAAAAATATAATTGTATCATATAAGTAGGTATATAAGTGATAAGAAATTTTAATAATAATAAGTTTATAGTGAGTAATTAAGTTAATAATGAATAGATTAAGTACATAATATATTAGATGATCATTCAGTTATTATTTATAAGTTAAATTGCTGCGTCCTAACAGGGTGATGTACTGTACTAATAGCATAATACCGCTATGTATAGGTATACATTTTGCAATAAATAAATAAAAAAAATGGTGGAAAATTCAATATTTTCCTGATTTTAACGATCATTAGAAAGCAGTATTTTTGTTATGTAAAGTCTAATATGACACTTTCATCAAGAAAAGAAATAAAATATTGTCTAATGTCTTAGAAGAATAAAAAAAAACATTTAAAAAAGTACTCACAAGCCAGCTGCCCCCACGGCACTTGAATTCTCCATTCGTGTTGAAATTTCATTTTCACAGATTAGTTAGTTTCACAAAAAAAGAAGAAAATTACATAAAAAAAAATATTCTTAAAATAGTCACTTCACGAAACGTAAGTGGCGAACAACTTTAACACCAATAACACATTTAAGGAACAAAGTTCACAATACTGGCTGTTTTTATATTACCGTTGGATTTGCATGATCATAAAAATAAAACAAGAATTGTGTCTATTCCTATCACCATGGTATCAGTGATAAGAATATTGATTGATATTCAAAGGTTTAATACGCAGAATCCGTACCTTTGATTAATTTTATTTAAAATGTTTAGCATTGGGTTATAGAATAGTTCTATCTTTTTCTTTCATTTAAGGACAAAAAGAGATAGTACATGTATCAATGTTCGTTTTATGAAAATAGTTTTCACGGATATCAGATCTGTCAAATTATGAAGTGTCAAATTCGTAGCAGTGTTGGGCTAGTGTGCTACTTTTTTTGGATGGAAGTTATTGGGATAACAGTATACGTTTTTTTAATAACGATATTTTAACGGTTTTAATTTTTTCTGCAATAACATTAGGCAAATTAAACGAACTTATCATTGATAATGAAATATTTTTATTTACAATTTACTTTTTACAGTGTCGTTGCTAAAGGTTTCTGGTGATCGCAAGAACTTTTCAACGTGAGGAGCAACGCCTTCACTATTCGTTATGTGCACATCATGACCTCCTACAACAGTTACACTATAAAAATTCGGCAGTATTGACCGACAGTTTTCTAATACTTTTAGTGCGAACTGCTTAGCTCTTTCATTGGTGTTCACACCGTCTGAAGCTTCAATAATAAGCGTTGGTGGTGCATTTTCGGTTATAATAGTAAAAAAAGTTTCTTCTGAAATAGGTATGGTAGCTATTTTTTTCATTCTGGGTTCCCAAGATAATCTGAAAATAAACAATTTTAAAATATTTTAGTTTTTGTCTTCAATGACGAATAAACGATTTTGTTTAATATGATTTGATAAAGTTTTGTTTTCTTGAACCCCACCTGAATCTACCGTCACCAGCTGGGATTAATGATCTAGATAGAATGACTTCAGCTTGATCTTCTGTTATATTTCTGTTACGGACTGAAAGACCAACTGCTTCTTCGAGGGTCAAAGTTTTGTTGGGGCCAGTTATGAAACTGAAAAAATAATTTTATATTACGAGTTATCAGTATTAACAACATAGATTCTATGCACTTTCATAAGTTGTCTGCCTCGTTGATTGAGTAGTAGGAAGAGTGCTGTGCAAAAGGTTTTGGGTTAGATTTTCGACATTTTTAATAAATAGACATAACACATCATTCCCTATATAGCTCTACCCTTTTAGCAAATTGTGCATAACATTTTAACTATAGAGAATAGTACTTAAAATGAGCTTTTTACACTTTTGAATTTTAAGTGTGCATATTTACTCTCTTTGTTTACCTATTCTAGTTTTTGGGAAATAAATAGTTCACTGAGTAACTTACCTTTCATAGTTATTATAATACATGTCATAAAGGTATTGTTGCCAGACGGGTAGCTTATAGTGGGGATAATAATACGATGCTATTGCTACAACTGGGTCCAAATGAACCATTTTCGTAATTTTACCGGGAAATATGTGATTGTAGACAATACCTGAAAGAAATGAAATTATGTCATATTCATAATGATTGAGATTAATAATGCTAAAATTCATAAAAAATTAACAATAATATTTTTCTACTGGTGATGGTCTTTGTCATGATGCGGCCGACTAATATATCTAAAGAAATGGTTATATTTTGTGATAAATATATTCACTTACCTATAACAAAACCCATGGAATGTGCCATAAACGCGAATTTCTCCCATTTCATATATTTTACAATCAATCTAATTGGTTCCACCATGTTTATCTTTGACACAATAACTCCTGGAGGAAAGGGATCGGATTTGCCATGACCTGTAAAAGAGCATTCGTTTTATTGCTTTAATATTAAAGTATCGGCGCTTAATTATGTCTCGGGGATTCGGGGACGACATTAAGCCACCATTGATTTGTCATAGCAATAGTCGTTAGGACTAGCAAAAAATCATAGTCAAGTCAAAATATTTGTTAACAGGTGTAATCAGGAATCTGACTTCACTTCTAATATTACAAACATTCGACCAGATAAGTGTTTGTACACTCGACAAGAGAAAAAAATGAGGCCAAATTTAGTTTATAATCGTTTTCTCACCTGGCAAATCAAAGGCTACATAATAATAATCATCTGGAAGCTGGTCCACCAATAACATGAAGGTAGCAGCAGTATCCATGTAACCATGCAGTAATAATATAGGCGGATTTGCAGGATTTCCCCATGATACCACTAAAACAAGTAATAAAGATTTATATAGATTACACGTTTTTAGAAACCTTTTTTTTTTTAAGGGGGGAAAATCATCAAATGAGTTCTCACGCCTGGGTGAAGCGGGTGTCAGACTTACTTACTAAAAAACACCCCGTGCCTACTCCTGCGCTTCGAGACGGAGCCCCGGTTTTTAGAAGACTAGCACATAAATTAATGATTGATAGACTTAAAAAAAAATAGGTTCTCAGTTGGACCAGCATATGTTAGCGCGATTATCTCGATTCAGAAAAGTGTTTGTTACACTTAGGAAAGGGTTTTAATCGACTAAACCGACTTAAAAGAAGACATAGTCTGAGAAGGTTTTTTAAACGAAGTTTATAAAGGAATATTTAATAAATGAAATGACACATTATCAAATCAAAAATCATACCACAAAATCAAAACCGTTTCTCACGTCGTTTAAAATAACCTACTCTTATTTTGCCGTTTTATTTTTCATTTTGACAGTAACGTTAAATTATAGTTTTTAACGTGCCCATCACTAGTTCCAGAATGAAAAGTTATTTTACCCCATTGCAATTTCAACTTGACATGTATAGCAATAAAATCTAAAATCGTGTACTGACATAGTGATAATATTGACAGGCTGAATGGGCAAAGGTAGAGGCTAGAGGCCTACTTAATTTACATCAATTTTTCATTTTTAATTTGTTGACAAAATAAATACTTTTTAGAGACATTAAATGAGTAAACTTACTTGCAATTTTACCCCATTTTGCGTCTATTGTCCATTCTTTCTCAATTTTCTTCATTTTTCGCTAAATCTAAAACTAAGTAGAGCTACTTTGCAGACCACAGTCACAAAACAATAGAGTAATCTATATATTTTTTTAATAAAACAATTGCATTTTTTCTCAAAACTTAAGTGTAACTAAAAGGCGGCGTGCGAAATTATTTCGAAAATATATAAAAGAACGTAAGATACGTTAGCTTATTATAAAATGCTAACATGATATGAACATAGAAAAATTAAAAAAATAGGTTACGTCAAATACAAAGTCCACGGCCAATCAGCAATGAGATAGATAAATAAAGATTTGCGGAATTCCATGATAGAAATTGTAACTAAATTACTACTTTATGGCATTGTAATAAGACTGTATTTGTGATAATAAGCTACATTATTAGGTACTGAAGCCCGCGTTTTTTTTTTCATATTAGTCATGACTAAGGTATATCTTTAGGTGTCTGATGACGGTTTGATCTATACCCTCTTTTATAGCCTAGGATTTATTTAAAATATACTTAGTCACTGTGTTATTGATATTAGCTTGTTCGTTTAATTATGGCCTATGTAGGTATTAGTTAGTTAGGTACCTATGTATATTTAAGTATCTATGCAGCTTCCTACCCAGATTAAATTAATGATAACATAATCAATAATACATAATTATGTAAATTATGATAATTTGTAGGGTCTGAATAGTTAGTTAGACGTAGGAATAAAATAAACAAACTTAAATAAATGTAATAATTTTATTTAACTTTATAAAAACCTGTTAGTTCAATAAAGTGATTAGATGAACCTGGACCTTAAAACCTTTGTTTGACCTGTCTGCAATGAATAGAAACAGTTATAATTACAATAAAATTAACCTTAATTTGATTACTTTTACAATTAACGAAATAGAGAACAGTGCCACCTAGTGAACAGAAATTAAACTTGAAGTACCTATGTAAAGTATCCAATAGATGACACTACCGCATATGAATAAATATTTTACTGTACCCCACTCAATTCTTCGCGCCCGTCGCTCGCGAAGGAATAGGCAGAGATACTCATCGACGAGATTATATCTGCATCTCTTTTCTTACAAACATAGGCACTATATTGAATTATTTTTATTTATGTCTTTACCATTCGCGGGACCACAGGGTGCCCGTCATCTGGGAGGTGTACGAGGGGCCGAAGCCAACTACGCAGAGGCCACAGAAATGTTTAATATATCTGTGGCATAGGCCCTTTAGACAACTTTAATCTTAAAGTAATGGACACACAAACCGGCGACTATCCCTGTATGCACTATGGAAATACACCCAAAGACAGCCCCCGGTTAGTGCAGAACTATTGTGGATAATTGAACAATAAAAGTAGGACCATAGATGGGTAGTGGACTGGTAAATTGGGAACTATGGATGACTATGGCACCTGCCAAAACAATATTGTAATTTTGACACGTAAAAATGGCAGGCGGAGACTCGCCAACTCACCGACCGGGGCCCGGGAATGGTTGCTAGATATAGCAACAGAGGGGCAACGAGAATGTGAGTGGCTGAAGGGTTAAGAAACTACCACCGCTTTCTATTCCGATCATCTGCTTCAACCGAATCCTCCTGCATACCTGGCCCACTCGCGACTTACGAATAGTTTCTTACCCTCCGGGCATGATCACTGCTCTCGCGACTCCACTCTGGACGGCCAATGAAGGCAAGCCAGAGGTGAGAGACCTGTTCCTTGTCAAGTGAAACAAGTGAGTGAAACAAGTGAATTTATTTCTGCAAATAGGCAGCACTTTTACACGTCAATTTTATCAAGCGAACGATGAGGCCGACATTTCCTAACTGACTACTCTGAGAAGAAATGCCGAAACAAAGTAAACTCAGAGGTCTGTCTCTTTTAAAGTCCAAACTCCAAACAATATGTATAACAGATTATGTCCTCGTTCACTCCAGCCAGCCAATTAAGGCATTGGCTGCCAATAAAAAACTGTTGAAGGCAAATCCTCCGCTAATGTCGGTCACCGGTGACTGCCATGGCGTTTAACGTGTTAAGGCAAGCCAGAGAATATGTGGCATAGATTCTAATTAATTTTTGTTGTTTTTGTTGTTAATTTGTTTTGTTTTAATCAGACATATGATAATTATATAGAAAATTAAACTTGTTAAATTCTCATTTTAATGTGTGTATGGTGTGGACTATTGTTGTTGTTTTCTTTTCCGTAATGTTAAGCCTATGAATTGCCAATGCTATGTACGCCATTATTGTCGCATGCTTCAGACCCTTATTTTGTTACTATTGTGTATTTTCAATGTTATATGTTTGTGATGTGGCCTTCGAATAAATAAATAAATAAATAAATACGGACAGGTGACTTCTCCCTGGAGTCACCTCGCCGGGCGAATTATTATTATAAACTAAGTTATGAATTGGTCGTATTAAATTTGCGAAAGTATTTACCTTTATTAATGACGTTATTAGACCTTCAGAAGAAACATCAGCAACACGTATTTAAAGTAGGTAGGTACCTATCTAACTCTTCGAGTGTCCATAGGCAATGCTGCTTCCTTACCATCAAGTGATCAGTCTACTCGTGTGCCCCCAATCGCAATAAAATATATTTAGGCTAAATATTTGTCAAAATAGTTCCAACTGGACCCAAATACTCCCGTGGAAAGAATAAGGATGGTGACATCTTGAATACGGCACCATTGAAAACTTTGTATTACAACAGGCTACTGTCGCGTTGTTCCACCAGCTCTGCTCGGCTACTATTAACCGTAGCGTGATGTTTTATAGCCTACAGCATTCCTTGATAAGTGGGCTATATCTATAGATATAATAAACTAATATTTCTGTGACTATATCCAACACAAATGTAATTTTTCAAATTGGACCTGTAGTTACTGAGATTAGCGCGTTCAATCAAACAGACAAACAAACAAACAAACCAACTCTTCAGCTTTATACATCTTATACTTATTACATAAAGCGGAAGAGTAGTTTTGTTTTTTTGTTTGTTTGTTTGTTTGTTTGTACGCGTTAATCTCCGTAACTACAAGTCTGTTTGAATAATTATTTTTGTGTTGGATAGCGCAATTATCGAGGATGGCTATAGGCTATAAAACATCACGCTACGTTAAATAGGAGCTGAGCAGAGCGTGTAAAACCCCGCCGAAGTAGCTAGTAGGTACATATATGTATATAAACTCAAACTCAAACTCAAAAGCATTTATTTCAATTAAACCATAATTTGGTACTTTTGAAACGTCAACAAATATGAGATATATAGTCTGTCAGTCTGTCCGTCAGTGAAGCTAGGCGCTCGTTCCAAAATGTCGATTCGAGTGGAGAAGAACGAGCAAGAAACTCCATTCGTTACTCTTTTAAAAAAGTCTGTTTTACATATATATAAGATATCTTCATAACAAAAACATCATATATATATACAAAAATACAAAGGAATAAACAAGATAAAATTGGCATTGATTTGCGAACGGGTGCAATGACCTCGCCAGGACAAAAGTACGTTGCCCACTAAATTGTACACACTACACAGACCAGTATATCGTGGTCTCACTTTGTTTGACTTTTCGCACAGTCGAGGGTCATTTTATACTGGGTAATTGTAGCTTGATTCATGGAGCTCCGAGCTACATAAAACCAGCTTATTATGGTCCCGCTTCGTATAATCTTTTCACATATTCAAGGGTCAATTTATACTGGTTTTGTTTAGCTTGATGAGTCGCCTACTGTTTGTTATGTGAAATATTGAATGAATGAATTTGACGACAAAATCTCCGGCAGTTTATTATCATTGTGTATTGTGTGATATTTTGAGATCCAGACCTTGATATATCAATTTGTTTTGTTGGTAGTTTACCATCAACTGAAGCTGAACCTTTGGGCCTTTTTTTTTTTTGAGGGGGAAAAATCATCGAATGACTGCTCCCACCTGGGTGAGGCGGGAGGGAGTGTCAGACTCTTACTGACTAAAAACCACCCCGTTCCTTCTCCTGCACGTCGAGCCGGAGCCCCGGTTACCCGTTAGGTTCTCCGCGACTCCGAATCGGCATCGACCCTATTGGGCCCCATCTGTGGTGGTCTGATGGCTCTTTGAGGCGCGCGCGGAACGCGACGCGCCGTACGGTCGGGTCTGTTTCTGGTCGGACGGGGAGCCACCCATGCTCGCCGTCCGCAGGCCCGCGCTTACGGTGGCCGGAGATCGTCTCGCGATCCCCGACGCCCGGTGTGTCCTTCGCGATGGCAACCTTTGGGCCTACAGGTGCATAGAGTGGGGACTGCAGGTCCCCACCCAGTGGCCTCAGGGATGAGGGAAGACGGTGACACAGTGGTCACGTGCTGCCATGAAACTGCACAGAGAGCCTCAAGGGAGACACACGTCTCCAGGGATGTGCTGACTACCGTCACAGGCCGTCACAAGCCTTTAGGCTTAATTCATTCTGTCTCCTGCAGTAATTCACCGAGGGAAGTGGAAACTATCTTTTTTTTCTCCTCTTATAATATCTTCTGATTCACTTCGTTGCTGGAACCAAGACAGTTACTCATGTCCCTGGGACGTTGGACTTCAGTGTTCCGGTGTTTTCATGGTTGTATCTACTGTAGATCCTGGCTTACAGGAGTTGCAGCGGTTTTGGGAGGTTGTGGCGGGCTTGTCCCAGCCGTCACAGGCGTTGCACTGTGGGAGCTCTGGGGCAAGTCTGTTAGAGAACCCGTTGCCCCTTACAGGTGCTGAGGGTAGCCTTCGAGGTGGTTTAAGTGAGATAAAAATCCTACCCTCCCTTGTCTTTCCCCCAAAAATCTCGACCAAGCCTCTTAAAGGCTTCCCCCGTCATTATACAAGTAAATTAAATAAAGGTAGGTTCTTCATCATCATCAACAGCCTATAAGTGGCCACTGCTGAGCAAAGGCCTCTTCTCATACGGGGAAGGTTTGAGCATTAATCACCACGCTTGCTCAATGCGGGTTGGCGATTACAAATTTGTAATTAGAAATTATAAGCCCAGGTTTCCTCACGGTGTTTTCTTTCACCGTTTGTCAGTGGTGTCTAGATAATCTTAGAAAGTACATATAACTCGGAAAAAGTCACATTGGTACTTGCCGTTGGTAGGTTTCGAAGCCGCACCCTCATACACGAGGAGCGGCCGTTTTAACATCTGGGCCACCACGACTTATTAAAGGTAGGTTACGAACTCATAATATTTGAGGAGTCCAGTGCCTTAGAGGAGTTATCTGCTCTCTTTCATCCTCAAACTTCAAATCCCTAAAACGCCTGCAACACACTTGTGACTCCTCGGTTCTGGTCTTCCAGGTGTCCATGGGCGCCGTCGATTGCTTACCATCAGGTGATCCGTCCCCTTGATTCCCCTATAAACAGTTGCAAGTACGACTACCAAGCATTCAAGGGAACTAGAAACTATCGTTTTTTTTCTTCTCCTCTTATAATATCTTCTGATTCACTTCGTTGCGGGAACCCAGATAGTTACTCATGTCCCTGGGACGTTGGATTTCAGTGTTCCGGTGTTTTCATGGTGGTATCTACTGGATCCTGTTGTACAGGAGTTGCAGCAGTTTTGGGAGATTTTATTAGTTGCGGGTTTGTCGAAAAAAAAATCGCTATGCAAAAACTATTTGCCTTAAACTATTTATTTACAAATTATATCTCTACCCATATTATCACAATTATTATTTAATTATTATTATCATAGTTTTGTTGTTTCTATGTTTATCACAAGCCATTAGGGTCGTTAGTCTCGACATTGATAACGACAAATGACAGAAATCGGTCGCTAAGATTATCAACTTTATCACACAAAAATAAGGTTCAAAATGTATTAAAAGTTCATAACTTGAGCGATTTGTTACTTTTTTTTTGTTGTCAATGTCGCGGCTAGCAACACTAGGCTTTACTTACATCAAAATTGATTTTGTCAATAGATTCAACATTTTTATCAAAATGTTTATCGAGTAAATATATCGTATTCATAAAAATATTCAGAAATTCGAAAATTAAAAAAAGACAATTTGTTCGATTGAGCCTTGATACATGGCAGTTGTATGGCAGTCTTGCTATCTCTTTCCTTTTACTTACATTAGTAAAAGAGAGCGATAATTTTATTTCGTTCAAAGTGCAAAAATATAATCTACATAGTTTGTAGAATTCTGAACCCTGTCACCCTAAAGATAAAGTCTTAAATCTGCTGATAACATATCACATACGGCTTAAACTACAATTTAGACTGAATATATTGAAATATAATTCTTTTATCACCATTTTTGTTCATAAGTCTATAATAAACATGATCGTAGGATATAAATCCATCGTTTTCTTTAAAAAAATTAAAACATTGCCGTCTGGCTGACCGCCGTAAGTGCCTTTGCCTTAGCAGCAAGTTGTTTAAAAAATAATCTCTTTCATAGAGGTCGATGTCATCGTGACGTCTTGAATCTTTTTGGCGGGAAACCGTTCGCATTTCTGGTGATCTGTAAATGTAAAAAATAAACAATTTAATGCTTGTGTTGTTCAAAAACAATAGGATTTAACAACATTAGGAGATATTATGAACCAAAATCTTTGGAGTGACTTTGACTTTTGGCATGAATTGGCATTTGGCACGAGGAACTCGACCAGTTTTAAACTATGCTAGAGGCTCATATTCATGAGCAGCATTTCGCGACCCGCAACTCTGCGACTGTCGCACAGCAGCACGAGTGTCGAGCGTGAGTGTCGAGTTCCTCGTCAAATAATTACGTGTGTAAGTTGAAAAACACAATAATTAAATTAAGTATGTCTCACGAAAGTTAGGTGTAATACAAAATAAATATAATACCTCTAATAACATTACATAACATCACGCCTTTTATCCCCGAAGGGGTAGGCAGAGGTACGCATTATGTCACTGTACAATGTAACACCCACTTTTCACTATTTATGTTATGAGTCCCATGTAATAGGGAGTGAGCCTATTGCTATTGCCATATACCGGGCACAATTCCAGACTCCGTGCTGCTACTGACAATTTTTTAAAATCCAGTAATACTTTGCCCGACCCGGGATCAAACCCAAGACCCCTTGCCCGGCTGTCGCACTTGCGCCTACTCGGCTATCGAGGCGGTTGAAAAATGAAAATAATAATAATAATTTTTACCTTTTGTAACACGAGTTGAATCTGGTCACCCATCCGTCGAAGTCTGTGTACATTCCTTCAAGGCTGCTAACACCCTTATGGGCAGGAGCTGGAATACAAAAATCATACATTTCTTTTTGTTTTCATTTGACTTCATCAAGGATTTTTATTTGTATAGTATCCTTTGAAACATTTTCACCGCACGGTAGGTACGGTCGCTCGGCAACCGACTGCCGCGAATCTTGTCGCGGGTTCTGTTATCCCCAAGGAATGTTCTCCTTAACCCCGTCAGAGTGCTGACACTTCACTCCTCGACTCAAATGCATACAACCCTGTCCTATACAAAAATAAAGTCAAAGCATTTATTTCAATTAAACCAAAATTTGGTACTTTTGAAACGTCAACAAATACAAAATAAATAATAGTCTGTCAGTGAAGCTAGGTGAAGCTAGGCAAGCTAGCATTCAAAAATGTAGATTCGAATGGAGAAGAACGAGCAAGAAACACCATTCGTTACTGTTGCTCAGTCCCGTCTTATGCACTCGTGTATCACACTCGAAATTATATGCACCTATTAAACTGTCAAACACCAAGCGGTCACCGGTGACCGCAACCTATTGTTCTATAATTGTGTCTACAAAACCGGTACTCGACGAGTTAATTTGTGAAGTATTAATAAAAGTAATTTTGTTCTACGAACTGCGTTTCCTTTAAGAAGACAACATATCAAAATCTAACAGTTCGATTCCTGTACGGAACAACATTAAAAAAAAATTACATAGTTACCCACCCACCTCTAGTTAGCAATATTTTTACGGACATAACATTTGAATAGACTATTAAACCACCACCAATTAGTTGGTATTATTTATGTGAAATCTCATTGTAATTATTATTTTAAAAACAAGTTTCATAAAAAAATGTATCTACGCAGTACGCATAACATAGCATGACGTCTTTTATCCTCGAAGTGGTAGGCAGAGGTGCACATTACAGCACTTAAATGCCACTGTACAATGTAACACCCACTTTTCACAATTTATGTTATGAGTCCCATGTAATAGCGGGTGAGCCTATTGCCGTATACCGGGTACAATTTTAGACTCCATGCTACTACTGAGGTTTCTTTTAAAAACTCAGTATTACTATGCCCGAACTAGGAATCGAAACGGAGACCCCTTGCCCGGCAGTTACACTTGCGACCATTCGGCCAAGGTAGCGGTCTGAATATCTGTCAGTATGTACGCATCAGAAAATATTATTTGTTACTACAATTTTAAAGTGTGGGAGAGCCATGCTTCCGGACCGGAGTGATACCACGGCCGAGCAGAAAACCGACGTGAAGCAACGCTTGCGTTGTGTTTCGTCGTGTGACTGAGGTTACCGGAGGCCTAATTACTCTCTTCCCCCAATCTTCCCAATCCCTGACTCCCCAACAATCCTCAAATTCCTTATCCCAAGGCCGGAAATGCAAAGGTAACGCCTCTGGTGTTTCATGTGTCCATGGGCGGCGCTGATTGTTTACCATCAGGTGATCCGTCTGCTCGTTTACCGGCTTACGGCCATTTTCTATAACCTCTATCTGTAGATTTGCTTACTGACATAGAATTTTGACACATTTTGTATGGAGCATAAGTCAAAATTGGGTTATTTTTTTTTTTTAAGGGGGGAAAATCATCGATTGACTGCTCCCGCCTGGATGAGGCGGGAGGGAGTGTCAGACTCTTACTGACTAAAAACCACCCCGTTCCTTCTCTTGCACGTCGAGCCGGAGCCCCGGTTACCCGTTAGGTTCTCCGCGACTCCGAATCGGCATCGGCCCTATTGGGCCCCATCTGTGGTCGTCTGATGGGAAAATTAGGTTATAGAAACACCATCCGACACTGGCAGTATAGTCGACAACATCGTATTGAAGACTCGGTTGCCAAAGAAAAAAAAAAGGTTACAGAAAATGGCCGTTAGTCTATAAAAAAGGAGTCTTACATTCCAGCAATGGACTGTCATAGATCCATCATTTTTACCGACTTCAAAAAAAGGAGGAGGTGCTATGTTCGGTTGATTGTTTTTTATATTTGTTGGTTCGCGCATTGCTCCGCCATTTGTGAACCGATTTCCAAAATTCTTGTTTGTTTGAAAGGGTATACTCCCGAGATAGACCCATTTCCATGAGGTCAAGATCTGATGATGGGATCCTAGGGAAACCGAGGGGAACTTTTGAAAATTGTAGGGGTTATGATATGAGCTTATGGCGCCGATTTCTAACCTATCAGTGGGTGGGTAACCTATCAGGGGGCTTACTCTTGAATCCAATTCCAATCGATCTTCATTGGTATCGTGAAATTTCGTACTCTCGCGTTGCAACACTAGCGCCTATTGCACTCGTATTGCGTGGATATTTAATAAACTAAATGGTATTGAGTTTGGCTTTATATTCCGTACTCTGAATGCTATTTTAACAGCTACGGTAGGGGTTGTACAGTTGCACCGCCGTGTCCTTAGGAATGTGATCGGCGACGGCGACCTCTCGCATCCGGCTCTGGTTCAGACCATGGTACGGAGCGAGGGGGACTGGGATGCCGTCTCCTCCTTCTGCGAAGCAGTCATGCTAGCTAAGGAGGAGGCGGAGCGCGTGAGGGTACGAACCTCCTCACGACCCGGCCGTCGCGAGAGACACTCCGGGCGTTGGGGATCGCGAGACGATCTCCGGCCACCGTAAGCACGGGCCTGCGGACGGCGAGCACGGGTGACTCGCCGCCCGACCAGAACCAGGCCCGAGCGTACGGCGCGTCGCGTTCCGCGCGCGCCTCAAGGAGCCATCAGACCACCACAGATGGGGCCTAACAGGGCTGATGCCGATACGGAGCCGCGGAAGACTTAACGGGTTGCCGGGGCTCCGGCTCGAAGTGCAGGAGTAGGAACGGGGTGGTTTTTAGTCAGTAAGAGTCTGACACTCCCTCCCGCCTCACCCGGGCGGGAGAAGTCATTGGATGATTTTCCCCCCTCAAAAAAAAAAA